ACTACTGCTGCTACGATTACGACCACGACCACGACAACGACTACGACTGCGACCACGACTGCGACGACTACTACTACAACTACTACTACTACTACGACTACAATAACTTAAGACTGCTCGCTCCGATGTGCCCGCGGGCACTTCAACACGTATATGCCGAGCCCCCGATACCCGCCGTTTTCGTTTTCAACCGTACCCCCGTGGGGATACAGATAAACATGTGTATAAATAGATGTATATATATATACATACCTATTGATATATATATATATATATATATATATACACACACATACCTGCAACGTGCGATTCGTGCAGCCCCAAAAACAAGGGAAGAGAGGACGGATGGAAGGAAGGAACAAGGGGGAGGGAGGAGGATGGAGCACGAGAGAGAGTAGCAGGAAGGGAGCAAGGAGCAGAAAACACATGGCAGAAGAAGACGGACAGATCGGGCGGGTAGACCCTCACGGGCGGGTCGGAAAGGCGGGCCCAGACAGCCAGGTCAAGAAGGTGGGTTGCTGAAGCTGAAGCGTGCGTCCTGCATGAATCGCGAGGCAGTCTCGAGCGAATAGAGCGATTCCCAAATAAATCGTCGTGAGGAAATCTAATGCGAGAGCGTGATTCCAGAGTATCGAGAACGCGGCGTCTCATAAATTGCAAGGAATTCCCACGCGAGAGCGCGATTCCTGCATAAATTGTAAGGAAATCCCCCGCGAGAGCGCGATTTGGCAAGAAATAATGAGGAAGTATCAAGCGGGAGCCGCTGTTGTTGTAAACCGGGGAACAGGAGCCCAGTTTGGTGACCCATCGCTCTCCATTGCATAAAGGAGGGTGCGAGCCCCGGGAGGAGCACTTTTATTAAGAATAATATGGTTACCGAAGGGGGGGTCAACAATAAGTATTGTTTAGAAATGAAACTTCCACGACAAAGACCTCAAATCATTTTAAGACTGTTCGCTTTTGCTGGCACGCGTGCCTTGCATTCTGTATACCCGAACCCTCGATACCCGCCCACTTCGTCTGCGATCGCACCCCCATTTCGGGGAGGGATATCTTCCTTGTCGGCCACTGACTGTGAAGTGCGAGGAAGTCTTGAGCGAGAGAGCCGTTCCAGAGTTCGGGGGCCTCTCTGGCAAGGAGCTCTCGGAATACACCTTGAAAAATATCGAACGGGAGCCCTTGTCCCCGTATCTGGGCCTCCACCAACTTGCCTGAATTACGAGGAAGTCTCGAGCGAGAGCGCCACTGTTGAGTTCGGGGGCCTCTTTGGCCAGGGCCCCTGGGAATACATTTCGAGGAAGCATCGAACGAGAGCCCTTGTCGTCGTAGTCAGGCCTCCACCAATTTGACTGAATCACGAGAAAGTCTCTAGAGAGAGCGCCGTTCCTGAGTTTGGGGGCCTTCCTGGCCAGGGGCTGTCGGAGCAAATCGGGAGGAAGTATCCAGCAGGTGCCCTTCTCGTCGTGGCTAGGCCTCCGCCAACTTGATTGAATTTCGAAGAAGTCTCGAGCGAAAGCGCCGTTCCCGAGTTCGGGGGCCTCTCTGGCCAGGGTGTCGCGGGGTAAAATGTGAGGAAGTATCGAGCGGGAGCCGTTGTCGTTGTGTAGCCGGCCCTCCAAGGGCACACATTTACAATCAAGCCCGCGTTCGAGCGGGAGCCTCGTTTTCAAAGGAATTGCAGCCGCCGTCGAGGCGAGAGCGCGCAGAACCCGTTTCCAGAGATTAGCAACACTTATTCTCTACAAATGAGAATTCAACGAAGACGACGACGACGACGACGAAAACGACAACAACAACAACAACAACAACAACAACAACAACAACAACAACAACAACAACAACAACAACAACAATTACTAGCACGTGGGGACACTCCGTTCTCACCAGTGCCAGGGTTTTCATACGACGCCCGCCAATACCCCCACTTTGTGGGGGGGCCGGTTCAAGCTCTACCACATTTCCAAACGACTCTTCGCCACCACCCACACCCAGCTTCCCGCCCTATGACGTTCGGACACTTCACTTCGTGGCCTGCGGACGACCGTGGCTACTACACTGGCGCATGGGTACAGTGACTTGTTGTGGTAACATTTTCTGGACGCTAGCTGAGTATACGACTTTTCCCCCTGTTCCAACACTGGACACCTGTACTGGTTTTTGGTGGCAACGTGTTCCTGACGCTAGAATTCCTAAGAAACCCAATGGTTTTTGAAGATTTCGGCGTGCGCGCGCGAAGAAAAAACGAATGTGTCCCGCATGGTATTATTTGACAGGGATGATGGCCCTGGCAGGTGCGCAACCGTTGTTGGAGAAGTTCGAAGCACGTGAAAAAGTTGCTCGCAAAAGCCCGTTTGACAGAAATGTTTAAAAAGTGTTGGGTTTCCTACAAATCCGCAAGAGCGCGCGGGATGAAATTTTGACACTTTTTTTTTGAAAAACCATTGGTTTTTTGATGTTTTTATGTTAAAATCGCTACGAACACTAAGGTTTTGGAAGGATTTCGTCTTGCGCGCGCGAATGTCCACTTTACCTTATTTTTTGCAAGGGATTCTTGAAGTTTGGTTATGTTAGAACAAGAAATGTCCACTTTGCCTTATTTTTTGCAAGGGAAAACCGCCCGTAACAAAACAACCGGATCCGGACCAACCCGTTTTGCCGGAGACTTCCTCACGAAAATGATGAAAACATGGCTGCGGCCTAGGCGCGGCGAGGGGGCCGCGCACCAGGGGTCCCAACAATAATTATTCTTTAGAAGTAATAATGTTCAACAACAACAACAACAACAACTACTACTACAACAACAACAACAACAACAAGAATAACAACAACAACTACTACAAAAACAACAACAAAAACAACGACAGCATCATCCTCATAATCATCATCATCATCATCATCATCATCATCATCATCATCATCATCATCATCATCATCATCATCATCATCATCATCATCATCATCTACTACTACCACTACTACTACGACCAGTTTTAGACTGCTCGCTCTTACCTGCTCGCCTGCCATTCAACACTTCTACCCCAAACCCTCGATAACCGCTCTCTTCGTCTTCGATCGTACCCCGTTGGGGGTAGATCTTCCTTACCTGCAACGTGTATTCTGGGCAGCCACCAATGCAGGGGAAGAGAAGACGAATGGAAGGAAGGGACAAGGGGGAGGGAGGAGGATGGAGCACGAGAGAGAAAGAAAGAGAGAGAGAGAGAGAGTAGCAGGAGGGGGGCTAGGAGCAGAAAACGAGCGGCAAAATCAGACGGGCAGATCGGGCGGGTGGACGGGCAGTCGGGAAGGCGGGCCCACGCGGCCAGGTCGAGCAGGCGGGTTGCTGAAGCGTGGGTCCTTCATGAATCGCGAGGAAGTCTCAAGCGATAGCGCGATTCCCAAGTACATCGCGAGGAAATCCACAGCGAGAGCGTGACTCCTGAGCGTCGAGGGCGCCGCATTTGAATAAATTGCAAAGACATCCAACGCGAGAGCGCAATTCCTGCATAGATTGTAGGAAGTCCCGCGCGCGAGCGCGATTTCTCAATACATTGTAAGGAAATATAAGGCGGGAGCCGTTGTTGTTGAACTTGGGAACCAAGGGCCCAATTTGGTGGTACTTACTTCCCTTTGTTAAAAGCAGAGTGAAAGCCCCGGGAAGAACACTTTAATTGAAAAATACTATGGTCACTGAACGGGGGGATCAACAATAATTATTCAGTAGACATGAAAGCTCAACACACCACCAACAACAACAACAACAACAACAACAGCAGCAACAACAACAACAGCAACAGCAGCAGCAGAAGCAGCAGCAGCAACAACAACCACGTCGTCGTCGTCGGCGGCGTTGTCGTCGTCTCACCAACATCATCCTCATCCTAATCCTCCTCATCCTCTCCGTCCTCCTCCGCATCCTCCTCGTGCTCATCCACCACTGTCTTCCTCCTCCACCTCCGCTTCCTCCTCCTCTTTTTCCGCCCCATCCTCTCTCTCTCTCTATCTCTCATTTCTCTCCCCGCAGGCTGCTCTCATACTATCCGCATCAAGCCTCCTAGTTCTCTCCGCCAGATGTACCTGCACGATGTGGAGTGGTTATGTCATTGTCTCGTACGGCGTCTGTACTTTTCTAGGGCCGACTGCCCCTCCTCGTTGCAATCACCGTCCGAAAACCGCCCCCTTGTTTTGCTACCCAGCGCCCTGTTCTACAGCTCCAAGACGGCACAAAATCGCTCCGAAACAGCTGCGAGATGCTCCAAGACCAGCCGAAGACGGCCTGACGATCCCCCAAAGGCTCTGAGATGTTCCCAGGAGACTCCGAGAAGCCCTGGGAAGACCCCTGGAGACACCCAAAAATGCCTGCAGCGAGGCCCAAAGACACGAATACACTTTCATGATGGCCGCTTCCGTGCTGGATGCCGGCCAACCGGTACTGGCTCGTACCGTACCGCGTCAACCGGTCGTGGCAACCGTACCGATCGATACCGTGATTTCGAACATCGAAGAATGGTCATCAGTGTCTTTTGCTTTTGCTTTTGCTTTCCGGGCGCAGACCGCCGCAGGAATAACTTTCGACAGCACGCTCAACCGCCCCCAAGGTGGCTCCATCGAGCCTGCTCGGGAGAGCTCGGTAAAACCGTCGCGCTCCAGGGAAGCTCAGACCGAGGCAACACGGCCAGGTCAGCGCCCGGGCCCTCACAGAAGAGGAGAAGGAGGAAGAGGAGGAGGAGGAAGAGGAGGAGGAGGAGGGGGAGGAGGAGGGGGAGGAAGAGGAGGAGGAGGATGGAGGAGGAGGAGGATGGAGGAGGATGGAGGAGGATGGAGGAGGAGGAGGAAGAGGAGGAGGAGGAAGAGGAGGAGGAGGAGGAGGAGGAGGGAGGAGGAGGGGGAGGAGGGGGGGGGGAGGAGGAAGAGGAGGAGCAGCAGCAGCAGGAGGAGGAGGAGGGTGCTGCGCTGGTGCACTGCCTGCCCTGCCCTGCCCTTCCCGGCAGGGAGGCGCCGGCCTCTCCGCCGCCCGCGGCCTCGAGGCGCCAGGGCTCGGAGCGCCGCCGCCGCCGCCAGCAGCAGGCTGGCCGACGCCTCGGGCGGACCGACACGGGCGGCCCAGCCGCGTCGGGGAGGAGGAGGAGGAGGAGGAGGAGGAGGAGGAGGAGGAGGAGGAGGAGGAGGAGGAGAAGGAGGAGGAGGAGGAGGAGGAGGAGGAGGCGGAGGAGGAGAGGAGGAACCAGGAGGAGGAGCGTCGGGGAGGGAGCAGCGTCAGGGGGGGCGGGTGCAAAAACGTCGCGCGCTCTCGTCGGTGCTCGGCGGCTCTCCGGCCTCGGGAGGCGCTCCAGCGCTGCGCCTCTCGCCGAGCGGCGTCCGGGCCTGTCCAGATCGCCCCGAGCGGCCGTCGGGGAGCCGAGGTGGGGCCCGAAAGCCCAGAGGCAATGTCAGGGGGGGAGTGCTCACGACGGGGGGATGCGTCGACCCGGATCGCCCATTCATCGCCGGCACGGGCCCGACGACCCACTCCGCCCAGGAGCGTGCGGAGTTGCGAACGGGTCCTGGGGGGAGCACGTCAATCGAAGAAACACAGTGGGCACCAGTGAGGGGGATCAACAATGATGATTTTTCAGGAATCAGAACTCAACCAATAGCGTGCTGTCTGAACCGTCGACGAAGGCTCACAGATGTCATGCTGGGGCGAATATGATGGAACAGGACGTCCTCCAAGAGACCCAGACCTCGGAGTTCACGGCTCTTTCATGGAGTGGGCCCGCAGGGCTCTCGAACCCTTTCCCAGAATCGTTTGTTCATCCTGGCCCGTTTGTGCTTGGCTTAGGTCGGGCCTGTCCCCCCACAGGGGGATTTGGGGCGAAAAATTAAAGATACCCCAAAAATACACCAAAAATGCTCAAAAATAGCCAAAGAATGGTCCCCCGACCATTCTCTCACTATTCTTTAATATTCCTCCTGTAGAGGGACGGGCCCGACTTCATGCCTGAGGGCCCCCGGGCCAGAATGGGGCCCCAGAAGCCCCACACGGCCAAAAGCGAGTCGTCCCCGCTTTCCTCGTGGCGCTGGACGCCTGGGGATCCCGCACGACGCGGACCTCCCGACGACCTCGCTGCCGCCAGAAAGCTTCGGCGCCGGCGGCGGCGTACGACCTCGACACCCAGCTCGGAGCGAGCGGTGGAAACGCACGGGCTGACGCGCTTCGAGGAGGAGCGCGAAGGGAGGGAGCAGGACGAAGAACGAGGAAGAGGAGGCGGCGGAGGGAGAGGAAGACCCACCGCAGGAGGGAGGGGGAAAGGGTGGGGGGGGGCAGGGACGGGCAGGGACGGGCAGGGACGGGCAGGGACGGGCAGGGGGAGGGGCTGGCTGGGGCGACCCCGAAGGGAACCCTCGACAGGGTGCGAGCCGCCGGAGCGCGCCCCGAGCCCCTGGAACCCCCGAGGAGCCCTCCGAGGCCTCCAGGCATCTCAGGAGGGGGCGGTCTGCGGGGGAGGGCGGGCGGTCAAGGCGAGGCCTGGTGGGGCAAAGCAGAGCCGCCCGCTCGCACCTCTTACTGTCTCCCGCCCGCCACGTTGGCCGCGGTGCCGGCGACCAAGAGGACCGCCCCGAAGAGGACCACGCCAGCCGCCAGCAGCCCCCGGGCGCCCGGCCTCCGGGCCCTCCCCCGCGGCATCAGTGAGATCTCGAGGGCCGCGGGGAAGATGTATATGATGAAGGACGCGCAGACCGCGGAGGTGACGCCGATGGCCACGTTGAGTCCGAGGGGGCAGGCCGCGAGCGCAACCGCGGACGCGACCAGGCCCAGGGTGAGGAGCACGTGCGTCCGAGGCCCGGGGCTCGGCACCCTGCTGGAGATCACACTGCGCGCGACGCTGAAGCGGAGCGGCAGCGCAAAGACGAGCTGGGTGACGAGCATCCCGCGGACGGCCGCGACGAAGAGGTCCTGCCAGCCGCCACGCGGCCGGAGGCTATCGAGGATGTTCGGGGTCGTGGCGTCACCGTAGGAGGCGTAGCCGACCACCGACATCGCGAGATTTGCCACCGTGCCCACTGGCACGTTGAGGGGTGGTCAGATGCCAAAGACTGTCTGGCAGGGTCTGTCTTTTCATACGTGGACCAGCGGACCCGTGCGTGCATCGCCCCACCGCCCGAGGCCACGATCCCTGGCGAAATTACTCTGGCGAAATACCCAACCATATGCAGTTGTGACTACCATCGTCGTGGGGATCGCCTTCGGGGGATCTCCTCATGGGGCCATGAAGTACGCGAAGGATGTGCCAATATGGGGCGGGTCGCCGTGTGGGCGCTGCAACTGGGGTTTCAGGTGGAAACCACCATCATCACCATCATCGTCACCATCACCATCGTCAACCGCCGTCACGGCCGTATCATCAACAGCATGGCTGGCACCGTCCATCATGGTGCACCTTGCCCCGGGGACTCCGATGGAGCTCCATATGGAGCCATACTCGACCAACTCGTCGCCGACCGAGATGATGAGAAGCGGCCGCGCCGTCCAACGTCCCGCAGGCGGCCCGCTGGCCAGTCGAGCCGCACGGGCGAGAACTCGTCCTCGAACGGTTGGGGGCCCGCGCGACGGCCGCAGGCGGCGCCCGCGACCCGGCAAGCGAGGCCCAGCGCCCGGCAGTCGAACTCGGAGGCCAGCAGCATGATTTCGAAGCCGATCTCCCAGTGCAGGAAAGGAGGCCGCCCGCCCTCGGCCTCACAGACCGGGCAAGCGGCGCAGGGCGAGGGGCACCTCGCGCCCAGCGCGGCCGCCAGGCACTCCGCGAGCGGCACCTCGATCCCGAGGGCCTCTTCGGGCGGCGGAAGGAGCTCCGCCTCGAAGGGCAAGCGGGGCGCCGCCGCCAGGAGCGCCGCGGGCGCGGAGTGCAGCAGCCACCACCACGCGACCGGGGCGAGCAGACGCGGCAGCGGAGCAGGCGCGATGGCCTTCAGTGACTTGGGGATGAGATGTGCTAATTTCACCACCACCATCATCATCATCATCATCATCATCATCATCATCATCATCATCATCATCAGCATCATCATACTCACCATTATCATCATCAGCATCATCTTCGTCATCATCATCACCAGCATCATCATCACCATCATCATCACCTTCATCATCACCACAACCATCACCATCATCACCATCATCATCAGCAGCAGCCTTATCATCATCATCACCACCACCACTACCATCAGCATCATCATCATCAGCATCATCATCCTCATCATCAGCAGCATCATCATCATCAGCATTATCATCATCATAATCAGCATCAGCAACATCATCCTCATCACCTGAAACAGTATCACCATCATCATCAGCAGCATCATCATCACCATCATCATCAGCATCCTCATCATCAAATTCACCACCACCATCAGCATCAACAGCATCATCAGTATCATCATCAGCATCAGAATCATCATCACCATCTTCTTCTCCACCACCATCATCATCATGAGCATCATCACCATCATGTTCACGATTATCATCATCAGCATCATCATCATCATCTGAAACAGCAGCATCATCATCATCAGCGTCAGAATCATCATCACCATCTTCTTCTCCACCACCATCATCATCATGAGCATCATCACCATCATGTTCACGATTATCATCATCAGCATCATCATCGTCATCATCATCATCACCAGCATCATCATCATCGCAACCACAACCAGCACCATCATCACCATCATCACCATCACCATCAGCAGCAGCCTTATCATCATCGTTATCACCGTTATCATCATCATAATCAGCATCAGCAACATCATCCTCAGCATGTGAAACAGTATCAGCATCATCATCAGCATCATCATCACCATCATCATCAGCAGCATCATCATCATCAAATTCACCCCCACTATCATCATCATCAGTATCATCATCATCATCATCATCATCATCATCATCATCATCATCATCATCATCATGATCATCATCATCATCATCATCATCACCACCATCATCATCATCACCATCATCACCATCAGATTCACGATTATCAACATCATCATCATCATCATCATCATCCTCATCCTCATCCTCATCATCTGAAACAGCAGCATCAGCATCAGCATCATCATCATCATCCCCATCACCCTCATCATCCCCATCACGGCTCTCTCGAGCCTGGAGACACGAGTGGTCACACGTGACAGCTTCTCGTGCACCCTCGAGCAATCGCCACCCCGGATGCTGGGCTGGCACGTCGGCGGGACTCGCGGCAGGCAGCTGCATAGTTCGCCAAGACAGCCGAGAGCGCCAGCGCAATGAGGCTGACGCCCCTCTCGTGCTGGGTCCGCCGGTCGAGCGTGCCGAACACGTTCAGGAAGGCCCAGCTGGAGTTCAGCGCGAAGGCGACCAGGGGCAGAGCGGCGAGCGCCTCGATGCAGGAGGCCGGGCCCCCCCGCACGGAGGCGGCGGCCCCGCAGCCGGCGCACGCGGCCAGCCTCCCAGAGGCGTCCCAGGGCGCGGTAGCGATGACAGCCGCCGTGATGGCGACGGCCGAGGCGCACCCGAAGCCCGACGAGAACTTCAGGCGGTCCAGGTCGCGCAGGAGCGAGAGGGGCAGCACGACGCCCAGCGCCAGCAGCGCCATCGCGGCAGAGCCCGCTCCGCCGAGCCACGCGGCGTGCGCCAGCTGGCCCTTCACGATGAGCAGGAAGGACACGCCGCCTCCCCAGGCGTAGATCGCGATCAGCGCGTCGGCGAGCCCCTTGGCAGGCCTGCCGAACTGGGCCAGGAGGAGGTCGGAGTAGGTGCTCACGCCCAGGGTGCGCGAGCACCGCATCAGCGCTGCGCACGAGTACGCCGACAGGGCCCCGCAGCACAGCAGCGCCGCGCAGCCGAGGCCCATCCCCATCTGGCGGAGCACGAACGGCAGGGTGAGCTGCCCAGCGCCCAGCACCGACATGACCAGGTTGGCCAGCGCGGACCAGAAGCTCGCTCGACCCTGCCGGGGGCTCGAGGCGAGGTGGCGCCCAGCGCTGCCCGCAGTCGTCCCGCCGCCTGCTTCTCGCAGTAGTGGACGGGCGCGGCTCCTGCCAGCGCAGGAAGA